CTGAATATCCTACCACACAGGAGACAGCCCCCTACAACAAAGTAAGTGTTATCTCGCCCAAAGTGTCAATAATATTGCCAGGTAAAACACTAGACAGCAGTTAAATTTAAATTTCACTTAAGTAACATATCTTTTTAGTATAAATAATTCCAAATAGTTAGATAAATATGCCCCATGAAATATTTAGGACAATTTAACCAGGAGTCATGTCTGTTTATTTGCTTAATCTTGCTAGCTATAAAGTATCTCATCAGCTCTCCACAAAAACTCCATGAGATACCCCTATTTGTAGTGAATAAAATGAGATTCAGAAAGGTTAACTTACTTGTTCATGGTCATAGAACTGGAAAGCGGAAAGACTAGGGTTAGGATACAGGAATACCATAATTCATTGACCAATGACTTTTTATTACACCTTTCCAGCCCTTAATGTATTGATTCAGAAATCTGGCAAAACGACATGGGTTATGATTAAAGAGAATTAATAGCAGACAGATAATTATTAAACTTGATCTCATGTTACAAGTGGCCTTTGGAGCCATCAAACCAACTTGTGTCTATAGAGAAAACTACAGCAGACATTCCCAGTTGTCTGGGGTGCTGGGTACCAGGCCTGTCTAAAGAACTTATAGTTGTTTTCATAATTGTTTTAGTGTTTTACTGCTAAAATAAAGACTGAGGATGAAGACAAGCATTATTTTATACCCCTTTTCATTAAAATTGCAAATGGGGTTAAAGAACACCATAGAATTTATTTCCTATATTAAATAGAACATGTGTGTATGTGGAGGAAATGAGTAACAGAAACTGTTTCATGAGCCACCATACAATACAACCTTTCTAAATGCATGCCTACCAAAGCCAAGAGAGGATGCCCGTGGGCTTAGACGCTCGCAATAAATTTGGTTGATTTCATTTTTAGTTTAGTGATATCCTAAGTCAATGCTTAACTCTGTAACTTCATTCTTTTTTTCCCTAGCTTTATTGAGATATAATTGACATATAACATTGTATGAGTTTAAGATGTACCCATAATGACTTGATAAATGTATGAGGAAATCACAATATGATGCTCAGATAATAAAATGGAGTTCAAAGAAATGCTCAAATTTGGCATCTTTTTATCCTTTTTAGACAAACAAAAATTTTGTGAGAAATTGACAGGACAAAGAAAGTTAGTGCTCATGAGGAAGAAATCTCAGCAAGCATTGAACTTAGGTAATAAATTAGTAAAAGCATTACAAGGTTTGCTTATACAGGCCTTTTTGACTCTGAATTTTATAACTCTCATGGTAAGGTTGTCTCTCAGTCCTCAAAAGTAGGGTGTGCACCTATCACATAGATAGTCATTTCTGGCACTTTGAGAGACACAGGTGAGTTAGAGAGCTCCTCCCACTCATGCTGCTGCTTCTCAAGTGATCTTAATTTTAAATTATAAATATGACATTGTGGATGTCATATATATAGCCATCTACATGTGCAATGCAATAGTTATGTCTCAAGATGTGAACATGCCTTGCCTAACAGGAAGATCCTGATTGCTCTGAGTATTTTTTTTGCTTTGATTTTTTTCCTGCCTCATAAGAAGAGAGCCATGGAGGCTATGGCTGGTAAAGTTTTGTTTTGTTTTGTTTTATCAGGTTGTATCTTTAGAAGATATATATGGAAGATAAAAATGACTCAAAATTTTTCCCCTGTATTTCACATAGCTTGTGTGAGCAATATTTAGCTAGAAAAGAAAGGAAGGAACCTTCATTCTTGATTTACATTCTTTCAGGTTTGAGGTATGGGGATCCACAAGGCTAGTAGTCATCCGGGTTTTCCTGGTGTTTCAGAGGGAAAAGTAAATGCCAGTAAGGTGTGTGAACTTATTTTCTGAGGTTTTTATATAGATCTTCCCTGAATGCTCAAATGTCCAAACAGAATCTGCATTACAGGATCACCATGGACTATTGTCTCTAAATAAAAATAACATGAATATGACCATTATTGATTCTGATTTCCACAGACATATTCCTCAAAGCCATACCTCAGGTGACACTTGTTGGGCTCTGCCTGTAACTCACCAAAGCAGAACAAGGAGAACAGTCTGGATAAGTACAGCCTTATTTTGACTTAGCTGGGTTAGAATTCTGGGAGTGGGAATCCATGGGTTTAGAAAGAATGAAAGAGGCCTTGGATACAGTAAATAATTCATTCCTTAGGATACTTAACGAACAAAGAGGGGATATAGAAAAAAGAGTATTCTAGTTATTGAGGTGACAAAATGATATTTCCTGCTTGTAAGTCTCAACATTTCTGTGTTTCCAACAGATAGGAGACTAAGCGAATAAAGGAAAATATTTGTTAACTCAATATCTGAAGACACACTTAATAATTTACTGGATGATGTCTTAAGTGAAAAGGTGCTTAATCAAGAGGAGATTGAAAAAGTAAAAAAGGGAAATGTTACAACTATAGCCAAGGCCCGTGACTTGATTGACTTTGTGATTTGCAAAGGGTCCCATGCCAGCCAGTTATTTATTGACTATGTCTGCAAGAGAAATTCCACACTTGCTTGCAAGTTGGGATTTTATTCAGATGAGATTCCTCAATTCTGTTTAAGGAATATCTCAATTTGCCCTTGCATTTTGGCATGCATTATTTATTTCTCATTCGCTTGCCAGATAATAGATGACTTATCAGCTCTTAATCTCATAACTCCTCACCCTTAAGCTCCCATTCTTGTGCCACAGATGAAGTTTACCTGCTTCCTCTGTTCTCTTTTGCTTTATCTCTACAAAATTCTCTCAGTTCGCAGCTTTACATTTAGACCCTATCTTACTCTTTGAAGTATCTTTCTATCAGGATAGTATTCAGTCCTACATAAATAATTTGGAAAACTTTATTCTAATCTCCCAAGTAAATAAAAGACAAAAACCTTTATTTTGGTCATTGACAGTAGGCCCTGTGGTTCATAAAGTCTCTCGAAGGTAAATTAAAAGCCCTTTTCCCCTCCCCTTCTCTCTACCTGACTTGGACATGTTAAGTCATTTCTCTGGACACATGCTCCCCTCCGCCACCTAACATACATAACTCGAGTTTTTCAATAATGATAGAACCAACATGCCATCTCTTTTGCATAAGCAAAGTGTTATTGTTTCTCCAACTGTTTTTTTTCCCACAATTAGAAATATTAGAAATGTTTCTCATAGTCAAATCCAAATGTTTCCCCACACCCCCCAGGAAAGAAGCTAAAGAAATTTCTGACATCTCAAGTGTCTCAAGCTACTTTGATAACATTATAAAGTCAGAGTAACAGAATACAAAATAGAGTACTCAATAAAATGTCTTTCCATAACTTGAAAAACTTTGACCTTACATTTTACTGAGGCCATAGACCACAATTCTGGCACATATTCTACCTCTCCAGTCCAGCTTCTATAGCACTTTGCACAGCTCTTCATGTTGCATTGGGCTTCTCCAAATAGAACACAGTCACTCTCATTTTAAAAGTCTTATGCTAAATTCATGCTAGGACTCAGATGGCCTGTAAATTATCTCAATCGTGGGAGCCTCAGTTTGTAAAACAATTTGGGTTAAAATTTAATCTGAATTTCTTGAACTCACCAGTTTATTCATTCATTCATCATTCATTCCTATTTCTCAACAAAAACTTTGACTACTCCCAATCATTCTTTTTCACCTTGGGCACATATAACTTTAAAATAGAACTCACATGGATTTAACACTCCAGTGGGGAGTAGGTAGCAATTAGAAGTAAAAAAAATAAACATGTTTGCAGATATTGATAAGAGTTATAAAGAAAACTAAAAGATGACAATGGGATAGGTTAGGATAGAAAGTAAGTAGAACATTAACTGGATTTGGTGGTCAGTTAAGGTCATGCTAATGATATGAATGACAAAAGCCAGTCTTACTAGGTCTAGAGAAAGAAAACCACAAACAGAGAGGACAATAAGTGCAAAAGTCTCAAGGCAGCAATAGGTAAAGGGGATTTGAGAAACAGAAAAATTGTATGTGTTGCTGAGCAAGAATAAAATGGAAGTAAAGTTTAGGCAAGGATTTGATCATACAGGTCCTGAAATGGCATATTAAAGCCACATGGATATTATTTTAACTGAGATGAGAAGCCATTGGAGTGTTTCATTCAATGCTGATGTAATGTCCCAGAAAACAAAGTTAATTGTAAGGGAAGAGAACTCGCTGACATCTCAAGTGTCTCCTCAGAGGAAAGTTTGCAAAATTTGTCTGATGGATATCTGTGATTATGATTTAAGTCTTATTCTTGAGGATATTTACACTGGCATTTTTGCAGAATTTTTGCTCTTGAAAGATGTTGAACTAAGGGCAGGAAGTACATTGAATGAACTTCAGAACTAAAGAAAGAGAAAGTCTTATGTACTTTTTTAAAAAACCATTGTGGTCACTATTAAGGCAATGAAATGTAGTAGGATAAGAGTAGATGTAGAGAGATAAGTGTTCAGGCTGTTTTAGTTATCCATATGGGAGAATATTGGTGCTGGGAATGGAAGGGTATCAGTGGAGAGATAAGAACCAATATATAGGACATATCTTGGTGATAAAGTTTACAAGACATACTAAAAGAATGAGTCTGGGGGATAAAATGGGTAGAGGGTAAAGGAACTAGTAGAATCAAGGAAGACCTCTTGGTTTTCTGCTTAGGCAAATGAGAAGAGTAGTGTCATTTATTAAGAAGCAGAATCATGAGAGGAAATCAATTAGGAGAATCTTACTAGATGTCTGTCTTTCTAGTCTTCCCCAGAAAGTCACATGCATACACTTCTGCATCTTGGGTAGATCTCATAGTCAGATAACTTTTCCCACAAAGGAGTTGTCTCTCTTGCCTGACCACCATTCATCTCTGTTAACAATATGTTAAACAAAACTATAACTCTTACAAGCTGTCTTCTTACAAAGTTTCCTTCTATCTTTTAGGAGAATGAGTTTCTGTATCAGTTTCTAGGGTGTTATAGGATATGAGGCCCAAGAAGAGAGCCAGTATACCAAAATATCACAATTCTGATTATACCATGTGTTTTAAAAGTCTTACAGAAACTCTTGTTAGAAGAACAGAGTCAGCATCCCCAGAACTCATAAGCAAACTCAAGCTATGTCCTTATGAAAAGTTCCTGGAACTATGCAAAAAGGAGGCTGGAAGGGTGAGATAATCAATGAATGAAATGAAAAATTTCCTTAGATAATCTTTTTAGTGATGTCTTAAGGCACTATAAAAATTAATAAATAAGTATGGGTATGTAATTTCTTCTATTAATAAAATTAGATATGCAATAATGAAACAATAATGTGGCAGTGCATTACATAGAGATGCTAAAACATGTATATTTATATATAGGTGCTATAAAAATAATGCCCATATAAGAGGCATAAACATTTAATTATGACCAATATAGACCGAAGTAGGTGGAGAATGTCTTTAATATTCGAAACATTTGAGATGGATCTTACACATTAGATAAGTTTTAGTTAAATGGAAGTTGAATGGAAGAGAAGGGAGAAGGAAATAGATAATATTCTAGTGCACTCCACAAAACCATTGAATAAAAAGCCCACATTGATTCTTGTTCACTACTCTGGAGTTTTGCTCTTTTAATCATTCCCTCTGCTTTCTATTAGAAACTTCATCTTTCATCCACTAGAAATAGAGAGTAAAGGAAAAGTTCTCGCAAAAGTTAGAAGACAAAGAACTGTCACATCTTAAAATGTAATTCTGACTATGCTGTGTATGTGTAAGAAAAAATGGGATGCCTCTAACATGCATTGTTCTGCAGATTTATCCAATAAGAGAGAAAGAGGACCGCACTCGTCTGGCCCTCATCATCTGTAACACAGAGTTTAGCTACCTCCCAAGGCGTAATGGTTCTGACTATGACATCAATGGAATGAAGGTGCTGCTTGAGGACCTGGGCTACTGTGTGCATGTGGAAGAGAATCTCACAGCCAGGGTAAGAGGCTCTTCCCTGTGCAGTACATATAAACTACAGGCCAATCTACCTCTAATGACTAACTAGCTTTCTAATTTGGGGCCATTCATTTAACTACTCTGGAACTTGCTTTCTTAAACTTTAAAATAAAAAAGTTAAGGTGGCATCTATAATTATCTATACCTCCTTTGAATAGTGTGTATATGTATGTGTGTGTATATTTCAGCCACAATGTTGTCATTATTATTGTAGTTAATTCATTATTAAACCAAACACTGCTCACTTTGTGTAGGAATTACACACACACACACACACACACACACACACGTTTTGTTCTGGAATGTGGTGATAAAGTGACAGCTGGAGAAATGGATTACCCAGAAGGCACTGTAGTCACAGAGGACACAGTCACTGATAGAACTGTGGTAATACTGGGGTATGTAGGTATGTGGAGGGGTAGAATATCCTAACTCCTTTCTTTTACTGCTCTCAATTTCCTCAAATCTCCTGCTAGTGCCTTCTATTGATTAAACACATAATGAAACTTGTTGACAAGAGAGCTCAACCACTATGATCCAGAAAGCAATAAAACAAAGACGATAAGAACAGGAAATGGATCTAGAGATTGCAAGTGAAAAATAACCAGCATATAAGAGTGACATCAGGAAAGACAGAGATGTAAGATGTGTCAGAAATCCATCTCTTCACCTGGAGAACAATTGTACTGACAAATGATCTGAAGTAACTATTTTGTAATTCTGGATTGTATTTGAACAACTGCAGCTCCAGGGAACAGCTTGGCTGATAAATTGCCATTAATTTTGGTCAATTTTAGTTGTGAGTACAGTGATGACTACTCATCCCTAACACCAGAGTCTTGTGGCAGGCAGCTATAGGATAACAACATGCATTTATGGTGCCACCCAATGGATCCTTGCCCATAATAAGGAAGGACCTTGTCCTTCAAATATCAGGGTTCTTTGTTCTGATTGTATTGTTGCATTAGATTGCTGAGGGGTGGACACAGAATCTGGGTGGCATTGTTTCAAACCCCACAGATTAAAACAGCTTCCAGGGGATTTAATGGAGCTGCACCTGTTTTTTTGTTTGTTTATTTGTTTGTTTTTTACATAAAAAAACAACTGTGAATATGGGGAAATTTAGAAAGCTATCATCTGTGCCCAGGTTCAAAAAATACCTGAGAAGATCAAGCTTTAACCTCAGACTAATCTCAGGCACAAAGATACACCAAAATAATAATAATAATGAAAAAAATCAACCAAATTGATAAACTGTTAGCTAAACTAACAAAGAAAAGAAGTAAAAAGAATCAAATAAAATCAGAAATGAAACTGGGGCCATTACTTCCATCTTTACAAAGATAAAAAAATTATGAAAGTACTATTAATAATTATAATACTAACAGATTGGATGAGTTAGATGATATAGATAAATTCTCAGAGACACACAACCTAATAAGACTAAATCACGAAGATATAGAAATTCAGAAATAACTGACACTAGTAAAGAAATTAAATTACCAATCAAAAGCCTCACAACAAAAAAAAAGTTCTGAACCAGATGTTTCTATTGGTGAGTTCTGGCAAACATTTAAAGAAAAATTAATACCAGTTTTTTCAAACTCTTTGAAAAAACTGAAGAGGAACAGTTTCTAACATATTTTAAAAGGCCAGAATTACTCTGATAATAAAGATGGATAAAGACATAACAAGAAAAGAATTAGAATAATATCCCTTGTGAATATAGATGTAAATATCCTCAATAAAATATTATTAAATGGAATCCAACAGCATATTAAAAAGATATTCACCCTGACCAAGTAAGATTTTCCCCAAGAATGTAAAAATGTTTCAACATAAGAAAATCAATCAGTATAATACATCAGATTAATAGAATGAAGGAGGAAAAACACATGATAATCTCAACCAATACATAAAATGGCATAAAATAAAATCTAAAATCCTTTCATCATAAAAATTCTCAGAAAACTAGGAATTAAAAAAATTTTTCAGCATAATGAAGGGTAGTTACAAAAAAACCACAAATAACATCATAGTCAATGGTGAAAGGCTAAAATCTTCCCCACTAAGGTCAGAAAAAATGTAAGGGTAATTGCTTTCACTGCTGCTATTCAATATTGTAATAGAAGTTCTAGCCAGTTATTAAACAAGAAAAATAAGTAAAAGACATTCAAATTGTAACTGAAGAGGTAAAATTATCTCATTCAGAGATGACATATTCTATATTCAAGAAATCGATTAGAACTAATAAATAAATTCAGCAAATTGCAGGATATAAGATCAACATATACACAAAAGTTAGTGTTGTTTCTAAACATTAGCAATAAACATCTGAAAGGAAAATTAGAAAAGCAATTTCATTTGCAATAGCACCTAAAATAATTATATACTTAAGAGTAAATCTAACAAACGAGGTAAAAGACTTGTACACTGAAAACTACAAAACATTGACAAAAGAAATTAAAGAAGATCTAAATAAGTGGAAATAGAACCCATTTTCATAACTTAATATTGTAAGATGCCGATATTACCCAAAGTGATCTATATAGATGCACCATAATCCTTATCAGAATTCTAACAGCCATTTTTTTTTTCACAGAAATAGAAAAGCCAATTCTCAAATTCATATAGAATTGTGAGGGGCCCCAAATATGCAAAGCAATCTTGAAAAAGAATAAAGTTGGAGGACTCATACCTCTCTACTTTAAAATGTACTACAAAGCTTATAGGAATTAATATAGTACTGATATAAGGACAGACATGTAGACCAATGGAATATAATAGAGCATCCAGAAATAAGCCATCATATGATATGTATGGTTAATTGATTTTTAACAAAGGTGCCACAACTATTGGAAGGGGAAAGGACAGTCTTTCAACAAATGGCTCTGGGAAAACTGGATATACACATGCAAAAGAATAAGTTGAATCCTAACCTTACACCATACATAAAATTAACTCAAAATAGATAAAAAATCTAAACTTAAGAGCTCAAACTATGAAACTCTTAGCAGAAAACATTGGAAAATATCTTCATGACATCAGATTTAAAAACAACTTCATGAAATGTCACCAAAATAGAAGAAAATAGAAGAAAAAGAAAATAGAAGAGAGGTTACCAGGGATTGGGAGATGGGGATAAGGGGGAGTTATTGTTTAATAGGTGCAGAGATATTGTTGCAAATGATGAAAGAGTTTTGTGTATAGATAGTGGTGATGCTTTTAGAACACTGTAATTATATTTAATACCACTGAATTGTATACTTATGAATGGTTAAAATTATAAATATTATAGTATGTATATTGTAAAATATTTGCCAGAATTATTCTAGGAACTGTGACATTAACAGTAACAACAACAAAATAACATAACAACGGCCACTTCTGAGTACCTTCTTCTATATATCAGTCACTGGAAAGTGCCAGGCAGTTGTCATTTATTCTTTCTATTCCTCAAAGCATCAGTGGTACAAAGGGTAGGCATTATGATGTGATATTTAAAAGTTTACTCTCTTTTAGGCCATGGAGTTAGTGCTAAAGACATTTGCTGCCTGCCCAGAGCACAGGTCCTCAGACAGCACATTCTTGGTGTTCATGTTTCATGGCATTCTGGATAGAATCTGTGGAACTATGCATAATGACGGAAAGTCAGATGTGCTATCTTATGACACCATATTCTAGATTTTCAACAATCGAAACTGCTGCCATCTTAGGGATAAACCCAAGGTCATCATCATCCAGGCCTGCAGTGGTGTTGAGTTCTGATGGGGTCCAGAGGACAGGGAGGTGTGTGTCACGCAGGGTCATACTGGGTGTTTTATATCTAGTAAAAACCCTGTGCCTCACTTTAGTGTAATTATACCAAATATATTTCTTTGGCAAGACTACTTAGTGGCAACAATAAAGAAATTGGTATATAAATAAATATAAATGCCATCCACTCTTTGTGAACCATAGCAAGTGATGATGATATTGATGTTAACTCTAAATTATCTTTATGTAAAATTATTAATATCTGGCTTGAAATGGCTTTAATTTCAATATTTGCTAATCAAAATTTTATGATCTCTGACCTGAGAATTATCTCACATGATAGTAAGAGATCAAAACTTAATACAATGCTAAATAAGTGAAAGAAGCCAGCCTCCAAAGTCTATATAGTATATAATTCTATTTATATGGCATAAGAAAAAGGCAAAATCAGGTCAGTGACTGTCAGAGGCAGAGTACGAAAGGGTTATTCTATATCTTGATTGCAGTGGTAGTTACATGACTGTATATGTTTATCAAAAATAGTTAAATGTACACTTAGAGTGAATTTTACTATAATTTATATCTTTATAAACCCAACCAATTAATTATGACATTGCTTTCTATCATAAATATTTTATTTCAAGCTTTAATATAACTATATCACTTGAGGAATGGCTTAGAAGAAAAAAAACAGCAATGGGGAAGGAAAGGGAAGAATTGTTTTAGAATCTTATATTTGTTGTTGAATAAAGCAGATATTCCTTTTCTTGACTTTGCACTGTTATTTATTATTATTAAATCAAAAACTGGTTACTTTACTTAAGAATAGTCAATAATAGTTTTTGGCACGATTACTATCCCTGAACAACAGGCATGTCGAGGTCTAGATGGTGGTCGCTATTCATTGACAGCCTGTTAAATGTGAATAGAGATAATGTTGTGTTAGGCTTATACTATGTGTGTGAGTCTGTGTGTGTGTGCATGTGCCTATGTGTGTGTGTGTGTGTGTGCAATTAATTAGAACACCTTAACTGAGGGCTTCCTATTTATTTAGTCATTAAAAGATTACTAAAATGGGTTTAGAGTGAATAACATAACAGGATGGTATCCCCTCAGCAAACAGTGGAGAGGTCTGGGTCAGCGACTCTCCAGTGCCCTCAGCAGACAGCTCTGAAGGACCAGAGGACCTGAAGGATGATGGTGTTCATAAGACCCATGTAGAGAAAGATTTTGTTGCTTTCTGCTCCTCAACCTCACGTATGTGTCTTTCATTTGTATGCAAGGATTTGTGGGGATAAGACCCGCCTGTCTACATGATTTGGCCCAATATCCCAGAAAAGAAGATAGACTAAAAATCTTCACAGGCATTTATAAATAAATGAAGAGCCTATCCAAGTTACTGCAGCCTTCTTTTATAGCTTCGTTCATGATCGTCCAGTCTCCTTCTGGTTCTACGACCACCCAGATTCCAGTCTTATATATCCTCTAAGTGATCAGTCAGTAGGCACACAGGAGTATTGGTTTAGTGAGTCTATTATGTGTAATAGCATTGTTTTCACTGCTGAGAAAATTTTTCAGAGAAAAAGAGAATGTGAGCTCTCTTGTGGAAAGTATACTTTCTAGTTTTTAAAATGAGAAATCTAAGTATAAAATATTGTTAAAAGATCATTGAATAACTTGTAGCATCTGGTAAAGTGAGATTACAACCTAAAGGTAGTAAAGAGTTTTAGAGATTCAATTCCCAAAACTATCATATTTAAGGTGATATAAATTGAAGAAGATAGTATAGTAGAGAATAGAATTCCCAGCAATGGACAGAGGCAGATAGAATTTCTAAAATGCTCAAGCAAAAGTTTATTCTCACTTAATATATATTATTAATATATGTTATTTGTTATATGTAATAAATTATTA